TTCCTCCAGCTCCACACTGCGTTATCTCTGACTCCAGCATCGGCAGTGCTTACTATCTTGAAAGGATCTGTTATATGGTGTTTTTGCATTGTAAAGGATGCAAATGGAAACAAAACTAGATTGTTACCATTCTGACATATGACTATATGCATTTAGTATTACCTTCATTTTATCTAAGTTTCAAATGGCGAGGTCCAGGCATAGGAAATACTGCAGCTCTAATGCTCGACTTCTTACACAATTGCAGTGAGTAAAACTGAAAGCTGTTTTGCAACGCTGCAGACTGAATCCAATGATGATTCAGAACAGGCTTTCTCATAATTAATTCGCACTCCAAATACTTCCCCGTTCCTCCACCATTTGTAGACGACAGGTACATATAAGGATAACTTCAATTTATTTTTAAAAGTGCAAGATCCACGTACAAACAACTGCATCTAAGCCTGTGGCTGGCTTAAACTTGGTGGCTTGGTGAAGACTTACCTTTTGTAGTCAGTGATGTTCTGGAGAGGTTGAGATACTTCAGTCCTTTGGACAGTTTTTCAAACTGCTGACTGAGTGCTGACACCCCTATTGAAAAGAAGGAGGACTGATGTATCACTGATGTACTTTATTATCGATTGTTGCTGTATGACAACAAATTATCATCGATCACTTCATCTTTTAATTTTTTAAAAAGTCATTAATTTTTTAATGTTCCTCTCTGCCTTCCGTGCATGTTCTCTGTGCTGGAGAGAGCAGTGAATCCATTTGCTTCAAGACCCCTTCTCCATTTTATTCAGACACTGGTTCAGAACTCAGACTATGAGAATCATGTGGTGAACCACTTTATCTTACCATCTGATGGCACAACACTTGCTTCAACAAGCTGCTACACTACGGAGTTGCATTTTAAGTGTTTAATAAATGGTGAAGTAAATGATTTAAGAAAATGCCCATTCATCTTGTCAGATTGAGCTGTTTTTCTTTCAATTTTAGTCCTTATCCTGTGGTCAACCTGCAGGATCCAAATGTCAAGACTTAATTGGGGATATTCTGAGTTTCCATAGAAATATTGCAGTTTAACCATCTGAATCTAATATGTTGCAATCAGGATCAGCAAAATCACATGCCCTTAGTTAGCCAGTTGTTGAAGCTGGTGTGTTAAATGTACTATGCAGTGGAGGAGTCTAATTTTCCAACATCATTTTTAAGAAGAAGCATTTGCAACCCCTTAAGCAGTGCCTGGAACAGATATTCCAACATAATCCATTATAGTGCTATTTGATATACCATTGATGAGGATGGGCGATGGTGGATGACACTTTTGGAGTGCAGTAGGCCACTTCATCTACCATTATATTTCTCCTGTAATTACAGTGTCTGTCTTAGATTTAATCAGATACTAAGATGAAAGTTAGAACTGAATTAGTTAAAACAATAATTAGATTATCCTGATGTGTTACGGTACTGTGAATTTGTGAGAAGCTACAAACTACTGTTCACATTTTTCACTAGACTAAAATCCAGCCGTTTCCTTGTTGATTATACTCTGAGCTCCATCACATACACAATGATTCGAAAAGCCAAATCTAAGAAACACCAAAATCAGCAAGATCTCAGTAGTATTTTCTGTCATTAAAAATTCACCTCTTGTAAATAGAAACCATGACTTGTGCTATTTAAAAAAGTGTATGCATCCATATCTCGAGTAGAACGCTTTTTCTAATATTGCACACTAATAACCATATATCATAAGAAGGGAAATGGAAAGCAATGAAGGTGAACGTGATAGAAAAGATAAATAGAAATCCTATCATAAGGTCAGAACTTTGTCAAGATTGGAATGCATCCCAGTGAATTAAAGACTAACACAAAAGCAAGATATTGTGGATGCTGAAAATCTGAAGTACTGAACAATCTGGCAACACTTGGGGAAAGAGAAGCGGAGTTGATATTTCATCGGAACAGACTTTTAAAAATATATTTTGCTTTTGTACTATAACAACCATGCTGTTGGTGCATTTTTCTTTCAACCTAATAAGGATCTGACACTAGAGCTGCTATGGCCCATCTAAATGAAGCAATTTCATATTGAAAGGCTTCATGAAATTAGACACTTAAAGTTCTGAAATGGACTGATGCCTGAGATTTGGTAATTCAGATGCTTAAATACTTAACTCCCAACCAGAAAGAAGTGATTCAAGTCTCTGGACTGCTTCTCAGTCAGAATTACAATTCCAGACTGTTTTGTGGCACTGTGATAAATGGGATAGACTTCAAACAGATCAAGCAAATCAAGGCTGGGAATCCATGAGATGCTGTGGACCATCATCAACAGCAGAATTGTACTCGAGCATCATCTGCAACCTCGTGGCCTGACATATCCCCACTCTACCATTTAGCATCAAGCCAGTGGTCAACCCTGTTTCAATGAAGAGACAGTGAAATATATCAGAAACACCACCAAGTGTGCCTAAAAATGAGCTGCCAATCTGGTGATGCTACAAAACAGAACTACACATGTTCCAAATAGCAAAAGCAGCAAGTGATAGACAGATTTCAGTGACTGAACTTCCAACAGATCAGATCTAAGTTCTGCAGTGTTGCTACATCTAGTCATAATGGTTTAGTCAATTAAACAATTCAGTAAAAGGAGGCTCCACAAATATTCCTATCATCAATCACGGGGGTGCCTAACACATTAGTACAAACGATAATCCTAAAGCATTTGCAACAATTTTCAGCCAGAAGTGCTGAGAGGTCTCCAGCATCATAGATGCCAGTCTTTAGCCAGGTTGGTTGACTGCATGTGATATTGAAAAACAGCTGGATGCACTGGATACTGCAAAGGCGAAGGGCCCTGACAACTTTCCAACAATAGCACTAAAAACTTTTACTGCAAAACTAGCTGTGCCCTTAGACAAGCTGTTCCAGCAGAGGTACTACAAGTATATCTACCCAACAATGTGGAAAATTACCCAGGCATGCCCTGTACACAAAAAGCAGCACAAATCTAATCCAGACAATTAATTTCCCATTAGTCCACTCTTTAATATCAGTAAAATGATGGAAAGTGTCATCAACAGAGTTGTCAAGCAGCATTTGCTCAGATGCTCAGTTTGGGTTCCAGCAGGGCCACACACAGCTCTTGACCTCATTATAGCCTTGGTTCAAACATAGACAACAATGCTGAAATCCAGAGATGAAGTGAAAGTGATTGCCCTTGACTTTAAGACTGCATTTAAGTGAATGTTGGGTAAAAGAGCCCCAGCAAAAGTAGACTCAATGAGAATGTGAGAAAAACTCTTGCTTGCTTATAGGCATGCGTGGCTCAAAGAAAGATGGTTGTGGTGTTGGAGGTCAGTATTCTCAGCTCCGGTTAGTGTCCTAGGTCCAAACATCTTCAGTTGCTTCAACAACATTGTTTTCTGATGATTGCTCCATACTCAGCACCATTCGCAACTCGTCAGATATTGAAGATCTCCATGTCCAAATGCAGCAAGACTTGGAAAATATTCAGGTTTGGGGTGACAAGTGGCAAGTAATATTCATGCCACACAAATGCCGGGCAATGACCATCTCCAATGAAAGAATCTAACCAGCATTCCTTGACATTCAGTGGCATCACCATTACTAATTCCCCACCAACAATATCCTGGGGTTACGACTGACCAGAAACTGAACTGGACTGGCCATATAAATGCTATGGCGACAAGAGGAGGTCAAAGGCTAGCAATCCTGCAGTGAGTATCTCATGTCCTGACATCTAGCCTGTCCACCATCTACAAGGCACAAGTCAAGAGCGTTACAGAATATGCCTCACTTGCCCAGATCACTGCAGCTTCAACAACACTCAAGAAGTTTGACACCATCTAGAACGAAGTAATCCACTTGATTGACACCACATCCACAAACATTCACTCCCTTCACCAATTATGCTCAGTAGTAGCAGTATGTACCAGTTACAAGATATACTGCAGAAATTCATTTTAGTTGGCACATTTCAAACCCACAAGGAACAAAGGCAGAAGATACATGGGAATACCCCCACTTTCAAATTCCCCTCAAAGCCACTCACCATTGTGACTTGGATATATATCAGCATTTCTTCAGAATCAGTGGGTCAAAATCCTGGAACACCCTCCCTAACAGCAATGTGGGCCTAAATATACAAAATGGTCTGCAGCAATTCAAGAAGGCAGTTTGCTCACCACCAGCTTTTCATGGGCAACTAGGGAGGATAAATAAATGTTGACCAAGCCAAGGAAGCCCATATCCCATGAATGAATTTTTGAAAAAAGCTTGGTGTTAGAATTCCTTGGTATGCAGCTGATCCAGTGGATTTAACGCAAGTAATTTATATTTTTAGCAAGTGGAAGGAAGGCTGACTTGCAAGGACGACACTGGAACTGACATTATCTACTTTAACCTATATAATGTCTGGTTACCACCGGCTATTCCTAAAGTTGCATTCATGTATTTTTTTTCCCAGCATGTCGAGACAAGTATGTAAAGTGGTAAGTTCGTCCTTGCATTGACCAAAATGAGAGAAAGGAAATTGTGGCCAATATCAAAATAGTTCTGTAGCAATTTTGCCAGGAAGAAATAGAATGAAAATGAGGAATTTCATCTTTACCTCTGTCCTCCAGCTGGTTGTTGGATAGATTTATGGTGTGAAGCACAGGGTGGATATTCTCTTTCAGAGCAAGTGCAATTTTTTGTCCAACATCACTGAAAGAATAAGACAATAACGTAACATGCGCATTGATCAACTAAAACTCAACATAACAACACAAGCATAAAAGTCAGGATCATGCTTTTACCTCTCTTGTTTAGGATAGTCAAAAATGAAGGAAATGCACTCACCTGTTACATCTCAAGAATTAAAACTCTCTGGAATAAAATCAATGATTTATCCAGGGAGCAATGGCACAGTCATTTTATTCCATGCAATGACATATGAAGATCTTTCTCCCAAGTCCAACCACTGAAAACATATTGGACATGGCCCATTTGTGGGGACAGCTTTCATGGTGCTTAATTTTCCCATGGATGACTGACTGATGTAGGCAGCATGCAAATTGGTGGCCTAACATTTCATTATGTAAAAGGGTTTCTTCCAAAAACAACTTTTTGAACATCCTTGCTGAGTTAAGCCACATTTCATTTTATGGTGATGCAAACGTTTTTGCATTAAGCAAAATTAATATTTTCAACACATTAAATATAATTTTATTCCAAACTAAATAAGGATGTAGGAGGTTGTGGCACACTGGTTATATCTCTAGTTCTGGGCCAGAGTCTCTGGATTCAAATCCACCTCAGGACTTGATGATCACCAAATGTGTGTCTTAACCTGATCAATTAGATTGATTACCAAATTATAAATCCTTCCAATGTGCCTGTGGCAGGCAGTAAGAGTAGGACAAATTCCGAGTCAATCAGAATTGTGTTGCAGCTGCAGCATAACAATTTCCCCACATTAAAAGACTCCATCATGAGCTGTTGCCATGAGCAAAAGTCATCCTCATTCTGAGGGTCTACCAAACAGAAAGAAAAAGGTTATTAATCCACAACAGAATGGAGAGTTTTTTATTTAAAAAGGAGCAAATGGATTGTTCCCTCACAACCTCAACCAGCTGTCCTTTATTCTTAATATTTAAAAATCTTCAACGAAAGCGATTGGGGCTGCACACAAAACAAATAAAACAATGAAGAGTTGAATCATCAGGATCAGAACAGTCTCAGGTTCAAATCCTTTAGCTGTGTCAATCGAGATTCTCACTCACTATTATTTACAGCCTCTGTGAGAGTGAGCAGAGGTGAATTTACAGCATCTAGTTCAGTGTTAATACTTTACGTATTTATGTATGTATGGGTCAATGAGGGTTGGATAGCACTTCACACCCCTGGAACTGCAGGCAGCCAATAAAAGTAGGAAGTAAAATGCATTAATGATTGTTAACATGATGAAGATATCATCAGCACTGATAGTCTACTTACAACTTCAGTCCGGCATTTTCTAAAATCAGCTCCTCCAGTTTAGTGGACGAACTGATCACATAGAGCACCTGCTCTATCACATCGGGGCTCTGGAGGGGACAAATAATATTGAAAAGAGTAGATCATTTGCAAAGTCAACATGTAGATTCCAAATGAAGATTATCATTTATCACTTTCTTTAATGTCATGTGTTCTAAACTTGTCAATTTGCCAATTTTCTAACTGGCTCAACATAACTATAGGTTGTCCAAAAAAAAAGTGCTGACAAAGGCCAGAAATGTATTTCTCATGACTTGTGATAAATATCTCTATTTGTAAAGAAATTAAAATATTTAAACTGGACCTACAAAAAATGTCTGCATTAAGACATGGAGATCTGAATTGCAATGGGAAGAATTAAGCTCAAGAGCTGTTAAAAGTGAAAGAATTCAGTTCTGGGAGAAATTATAACGATCTATCTTGAACTTCATTCAAAATAAATGGGCCATTTATTAAAAATAAATGCAGATTTCTTTTTATGACCAGTTATCTTTTAAGAAGTTGCTGTAGATGAAAAGTGGAATTGTACCAGAACCACAAGGCTGAACCAGGAGGAAAGTTTGAAAATAGCATGTCAGATCAGCTGCCCTATGCATTCCTGCCTTCAAGTGATCTTGCCAGAGGTGAGATCAGTGTAGGAGCAGCCTGCTGACTGGTGGCAACAAGCAGATGCTGAGGCCAATTAGACACCAATTGGGAGAAGTTGCCAATGCTGCTGGGACTTTCCTACCATCAAAAGGATTTCCCATTAAGGTTGGAGCCTGGCAGGTACCTCGAGATGGCCTCCGAATGAAGAGGCAATTAATGGTCTTCTCAATCCCATCATGATACAGTGAAGATCAGAGGGCCTTAGCTGCAACAAGCAACACTGTGGAGCATTTTGCCCTCCACAACTGTGACTTGACAGATTTATTTTAAAATTTTCAGAAAGCAATGGAGGGGACCCTCATGACGAGACATTCCTGCCTCAGGAACATCCACTTTTCCTGTGGGACTGCCAAATGTGGAGAGCTATGGGCTCACTGAATTGGCCTCCAACTTCAGGAAACCATCTGCCATCTATCACTGGAGTGTATAAATGGAGGCAAACTCTTTATCTGCTGCAAGATTGTGACACTGTGCAGTAGGACAACATTTGCTTTAAATTCCAAAGACAGAAAGATTTCAAAGCCATCGGAAACATAATTAAATATTATTCCTTTTCTTTAATGCTATTGATCACATTGATGCATCTGTATTTTTTTCTTGTACCCTTTAAAACACCGCCTTCACAATCATTCCGTCTTATATTGTATATGTTCAAGACAGATAATAGATTTTTGAACACTACGGGACAATGGGATAATGAGAGTGGAAAATTAGACGTAATCATATTGGATGGTAGAACAGACTTGAAAGACCTAATGGCCTACTTCTGCCCCTATTTCTAAAGTTCTTGCATATTTGAACTAATTTCCTTCCTTCTGTCTAAACCAAAGATTTCACAGAACGCCAGCACTATGGTACCTCATAGCATAGGACGAGCGAATATTTCCATGTTTGGACTGTATAGTCAAAAGCCTTAAACTGAACAGCTACACTGTTCAGTTATGTGGTGGTATAAGATCTACTGATAGTGGTAAAAGCACAGGAAATTATATTCTGAGCAACTCTGTAATGCAACTCTGGGGGTTTGGCTCAGGAGATTTGCAAACCAAAAAAAAATCCAAAAATACAATGTGTTAAAAATGCATTTGAGAACATAGGAATTGCTAGAAGGACAAAGACTAAACCTTATCTAAATCACTTCCACTTTGCTGGTGGTGACATGACACCAAGATAATAGAGTTATACTCAGCAATTAATCTCTATCAATATCCCTGTAAAAGGCCTAGACATGATATGAAGAAAACCTCAGTGGTGCAGAGCCTTACAAACCACTGGTGTGCCCTTGTTTTTTTTTCAGCACAGCTGCCGCAATTCACAATCTGTCCATTTGATCAAGGTGACAACACAAATTTGTTAAATCTATTTGAAGACTTTCACCACCATCAAGGAGGAATTCAAGGAGGAAATCCCATGTCTGAGAGCTGCTCACCAACCAGATGGCCAGCAGCCCAGGATTAGTGGCCTCTGCTGTCACTACACTTCATCCTCAGCAATGTTGAGAAGCCATAAAGACTGACTCAAAGGTTAGTGTAGAGTGTTTTGCTGGGGTCAGTCTGGCAGACGCCAGTGGTGGTTTCAAAAGAATGGAAGATAACACATGTTGAGAGGGGCAGAAAGAGTACCACGGAGAGAGACCTCTATTAGGTACAGTGTGCCCAAATAGGATGGAATCCTACCCCCAACCTGGCTACGTATAACGCTGTTAGATTTTACCTCGGAGTGTATACACACTCCCTGCCACTAGTAAAATACACTGCCGGTAACGAGAGGCCCTAAGTAAACATTAATTGGGATTTGGAATCATGGTAGCAAATCAGCCAATTCAGGGCCGTGTCGTAAATTTACATCTCTCAAACACATTAGTTTCGGGGAAGACTCCTTTAGATTGGAAAACACCTATGTAATTCCAAAAAGGGAGGGAGGCAGAAAACAAGACACTATAAGCAAATTAGCTAACATCTGTGATAGGGAAAATATTAGAACTATTATTAAAGGTATTATAACAGGGCACTTGGATAAGATCAAAGTAATCTGGCAAACATGCTTTTGGCAAAGGAAAATCATGTATTGGAATTCTTTGAAGAGTAACCTGTGCTGTGAATTAAAGGGAACCAGCAAATATATTGGACTTAGGTTTATAGAAATTTGGAAAGGTGCCACATCAAAGGTAATTGTGGAAAATAAAAGTTCTTGGTTTTCAGGCTAACCTATTAGCATGCAGAGAAACTTAGTTAGCTGACAGGAAGCAGAAGGTAAGCTGGATAGAGTAGACAAAGACAAAACAGTTCGCTAAACACAAGAAATAGGAGCAGGAGTAGGCAATTCAACCTTTTGAGCTCCACCATTTCATATGACAATGGCTGATAACATATTGGTCTCAATTCCTCTTTCCTGTCCATTCTCCATAATCCTTCAACCTCTTACTCGTGAAAAATCATAGAATCCCTACAGAGTGGAAATGGACATTCAGCCTATTGAGTCCACACCGATCCTCTGAGGAGCATCACACCCAGACCCACCACCCTACCCTGTCGCTATAACCCTGCATTTCCCATGGCTAACCCACCTAGCTGGCACATCCTTGGACACTATGAACAATTTAGCATGGCCAATCCACCTAACTTGCACAACTTTGGACTGTGGGAGGAAACCAGAGCACCTGATGGAAACCTACACAAACATGAGGAGAATGTGCAAACTCCACACAGTTACCCGAGGATAGAATCGAACCCAGCTACCTGGCGCTGTGAGGCAGCAGTGCCACTGAGCCACTGAGCCACCATGCCACCCTGTCTACCTCCCCCTTAAATTAACTCAATGTCCTGGCATCCACGTATTCCGAGATAGTGAATTCCACAGACTCATGACCCTTTCTCTTCTGTTTTAAGTCTGCTACCTCTTATCCCAAAACCATAACCTCTCATTCCAAATTGCCCTATATGAGGAAACATCCTCTGTACATGTTTGTAAATCACCTTTAGCATCCTATATACCTCAAATAGATCACCTTTTTTTCTTCTAAACTCCAGAGTATGGGCCTAAAATGCTTAATCTCTCTTCATATAACAAAACCCTCATCTCTGGGATCCCACTCGTAAAAGGAATAAGAACGAGAGGCCATAGATTTAAAATGAAACGCAAAATAAGCAAGGGTTTTGTGAGAATTTGTTTTCCTATACACTGAGTAGTTTGGGTATGGAATGCACTGCCTGGAAATGAGGTGCAGGCAAGTTCAAGTGAGGCATTCAAAAGAGCAACGGATGATTATTTGGATAGAAAGAGTGTGCAAGAGTATGACCAAAAAGCAAGAGATTGAAAGCAGGTAATGATGCACATTTGAAGAGCTGGTGCAGGCACATTGGGTCAAATGGTCTCCAGCACCATAACAATTCTGTGATTCTGTGAAGAAATGGTTCTTTTCCAGGCTGTTAGGAATGATGTGCCACAGGGATCACTGCTGGGGCCTCGACACTTCATAATTTATGCAAATGATTTGGATGAAGGGACTGAAGGTATGGCACCTCAATTTGCTGACGCCACAGAGATAGGCAAGAAATTAAGTTGTAAAGAGGCTATAACAGCCTACAAAGTGAAATAGATAGGTTAAGTGAGTGGGCCAAGATCTGGCAAATAGATTATATGGGGCAAAAATGTGAAATTGTCCATTTTAGCAGAAGAAATATAAAAGAAGCTTATTATCTAAAATGGTGAAAAAGTTATCGAGCTCTGAGATGCAGAGACACCTAGGTGCCCTAGTGCATGAATCGCAGTAGCATGCAAGTACGACAACTAATCAGAAATCTCATAGAATGCTATGTTTTATTGTGAGGGGAACTGAATCAAGAGTAGACAGATTATGCTTCAGTGAGACCACATATGGAGCGCTGTGTACAGACTGGTCACCATACTTAACAGGAGAATATACATGCACTGGAAGCAGTTCAGTGAAGGTTTACTACTCTAAAACCTAAAATGAGCAAATTGTCTTATGAAGAAAGGCTAGGACTGTACTCTCTGGAGCTTAGGCGTGTCAGAGGTGACTTAATTGAAACATATAAGATCCTAAAGGGACTTGATCTGGTGGATGTAGAAAGGATGTTTCCTCTTGAGGGGGAATTTAAAACGAAGAATCTGAGTTTAAAAATAAGGAGTCGTCCAAATAAGATAGACATGAGGAACACTTCTTTCTTGAGTTGAGAGTTTGGAACTTCCCTCATCAAAAGGCAGTTGATGTATAATCTTTGAATATTTTTAAGGCAAAGGCAGTAGATTCTTCATTACCAAGGGGATGAGAGATTATCAGATGTATGCAGGAATGTGGTGCTGAGGTTAAAATCAGATCAACCTTGACCTTATTGAATGGTGGAGCAGGCTTGAAGGGCCAAGTAGTCTCCTTTTCTTCATTGTTTGCATGTTTGTAAAGCATACTGATTGCCATGTTGGAAAGGTAATAGCACAAGCATGGAAACTACACAATGGAATTATGCAGATTGGGCAGAATGTGAAAGCAGTCAGTGTCTAATTTTGACCTGATGCATGTCACATCAACCTGTTAATGCTCTCCCTTAAACGTGCACTGCTGAATATGCTACTTCATAAGGGACTTCCTACTAATATGAAAATATATCAGCTACTGAGTGGTTTTGCATTTGACAAATTGTCGTTAGTGGAAGTTCTATGTGCTGTGTTGTTGAAGCAGCTCACACAACCTTTTTGGTCAGTAGGGAGTGGTGCTCTTTTAGGACTGAGATGAGGGGAAATTTCTTCACCGAGAGAGTGACGAGCCTTTGGAGGCCAAAACATTATGTGTTTTCAAGGAAGTAGATACAGCTCCTGTGGCTAAAATGATGATGGGGGAAGGGTGGGATCAGGATGTGGAGCTCGATGATTAGCCATGATCATTTTGAATGGCTGAGCAGGCTTGAGAAGTCTAATGGCCTACTCCTGCTCCTTTGTTGCTAAAATTTGCTAAAACTGACAATTCAAATTTCTCACAACATACTCCATTTGTTAGATCTTTCCCCACTCACTTAACCAATATCCCTTTTGTAGCTTTTTATGTCCTTTGCACAGTTTACTTTCCTGCTTAACTTTATGTCATCAGCAAATTTAGCAACTTTACCTTCAGTCCCTTCACCCAATTGTAAAATGTTTAGGCCGCAATATTGATCCCTGTGGCCCACCACTTGTTACATCTTGCACCAGAAAATGACCCATTTATGCCTATTCTGCTTCCTATAAGTTAGCCATTCTGCTATCTATGCCAATATGTTACCCTCTCTGCATGACCTCTTATTTGCAACAATAAACTTTGATGGAGCTACTTACTAAATGCCTTCTGGAAATCTAATCACAGTATATCCATTGGTTTCCCCTTCATTCACAACACATGATACGCCTTCAAAAAATTCTAATACTATTTCCCTTTCACAAAATCATGTTGACATTGCCTGATTACCTTCAACGTCCCAAAGTACCCTAACATATTACCTATGATAGCTGTTATGTCAACAGGCTTGCAGTTTCCTGCTTTCCCTTTTTGAATAATGTTTGCATCTTCCAATCTAATTAAGCCTTCTTCAAAACAAGAGAATTTTGAAAATATAAAATCAATACATCATCTATCTCACCACCAACTACTTTTAAGACACTAGGACGAAGTCCATTAGGATCTGGGAATCTTCAGTAGCAGCTCGTAATAAACTGACCTTGAACCTATTTAAAATTTGACTTCTGGTTTGGTTTCACTTGAAACATTGTAACTTTAAAAAAAAAAGCCTAAATGAGCTTTGTCAAATTAGTTCACTGACACTGGTGGTGATGGCAGCTTACATTGTATTTCTTTGAGTTGGAGGAAAAAAAATTACTTCTCAGATTATCTTGGACATTGGGTAACAGAACAAAACAGGGTAGCATGCGTCAGTCTGGTACAAAGAACTGGCTCACCATTATTAATGAGTTTAATTTACATTTTGTGGTGTGAAGATGTAGTACTGACATCAAGCAAATATCAGAATATATCCTTCGTTGCACTCCAATATTTTGTCATACACAGGAAATAGCTTGGTGCAAAAAAGACACAGTATTTACCGGCAGTTAATTCGGACTTAAAGTACCTAAGAACTAAACTGTGAACATGATTTCTTTCAGACAGCAATTATGCCCTGCAGACTGATTTATACATTGTTATACATCAATTGGTCCAATTGAACTCACCAGCCGTAAATCCTTGGAGAACAACTTTGTAAACCACTGGTTAAATGCCAAAGCTGCCACGCACAATGCCACATCTCTGTTAGACACAAAAGTTCATAATATTTGTTCAAGACAATAAACTTCTTAATTATATTTAGAAGAGCCTAATGCATTCTTCACTTTAGATGACGACTTTGTGTTAGATTTCCAGTCTACTTGAATGCAATTTGACCAAAAATCATTTTCCATCTTGGGGGATTTTTGGCCTGGTTTTTTTTCCCCTTTGCTGAGTTTCTTTACTTCTTACAACTGGCACCAATAGTGGCTATTAGAAGGGATATGATAATGGCTTATGTCACTGTACCTGTGATTTTCCTCCCTTCATCTAGGAGGGACTTGCAATCTCCTAGAGTAGGACTTTAAACTGTATTCATAATTCATCTAATCATGAGACTAATCAGCCCAAGGATGGATCTGGGTAACATAAACCAGAGCTGACAAGTAGCAGGAAATGTTTAAAGTGACATCTAATGTGATTGTGATAAAGGTGAATAATCCCTCTGTGATTTTCTCCATCTGCTTACAGCTGATGTTGTTAACAATACCATTTTCCTCCAGTACCTCTCCGCTGTCATTTAGCTGGACAGGACTCCACTTGCCTGGTCCATCTTTATCTACCTGATCGGATTCTAAACATAATTTGCAGTGACTTTTCTCCCTAGCTCCCACATTGTTACCTCTGGTGTCCCCCGATGTTCTATCTTCAGCACAATCCTACTTCTTCACAACTTGATCTTTCACATGAACGCTGATGATATCAAACTCTACCTCATCGCCACCTATTACTTAGTTATTAGCCTGCTTACCAAATTCTACTTCATGAGCAGAAGTTCTGTCCAATTAAATATTGGGGATTCTGAAGCCATTACTTTCGATCCTCACTCCAAACTTTGTACTTTGAATACTGATTCTAACCCTCTCCCTAGCAACAGTCTTAGATTAAGCCAGTCTGTGCAACCTTGGTGTCACAGTTGATCCCAAGATTCATTTCCAGTCTCTTAGAGTCACAGAGATGTACAGCACAGAAAGAGACCCTTCAGTCCACTTCATCCATGTCGACCAGATATCCTAAATTAATCTAGTCCCATTTTCCAGAATGTGGCCTATATCTCTCTAAAACTTTCCTATTCATATAGCCATCCAGATACCTTTTACATGTTGTAATCATGCCAGCCTCCACCACTTCTTCTGGCAGCTCATTCCATACATGCACCATCCTGTGTGGAAAAGTTGCCCCTTGGCTCCCTTTTAAATCCTTGCCCTCTCACCTTAAAGCTATGCCCTGTAGTTTTGGACTCCCCCCACCCCCCACCACCCGCCACCCTGGGGAAAAGACCTTGTCTATTTACGCTCTCCATGCCCCTCATGATTTTAAAAACCTCTATACGGTCACCCCTCAGCCTCTAACACTAGATGGAAAATAGCCCCAGCCTATTTATCTTCTTCCTATAGCTCAAAACCTCCAACACTGGCAACACCCTTGTAAATCTTTTCTGAGCCCTTTTAAATTTTCACAACATCCTACCTATAGCAAGGAGATCAGAACTGTACACAGGATTCCAACAATGGCCTTACCAAAGTCCTGTACAGCCACAACATGACCTCCCAACTCTTATACTCAATGCACTGATCAATAAAGGCAAGCAAACCAAACGCCTTCTTCACTATCCTATCTACCTGCATTTCCACTTTCAAAGAACTATGAACCTGCACTCCAAGGTCTCTTTGTTTAGCAACACTCCCCAGGACCTTACCATGAAGTGTATAAGTCCTGCCCTGATTGGCCTTTCCAAAATGCAGCACCTCATATATATCTAAAGTAAACTCCATCTACCACTCCTTGGCCCGTTGGCCCATCTGATCAAGATCACTTTATAATCTGAGGTAACCTTCTTCACTGTCCAATTTTGCTGTCATCTGCAAACTTACTAACCATACCTCCTGTGTTCAGATTCAAATCACTTATATAAATGACTAAAAGCAGTGGACCCAGCACCAATCCTTGTGGCACACTGCTGGGCACAGGCCTCCAGTCTGAAAAGCAACCCTCCACCACCACCTTCTGTCTTCTACCTTCAAGCCAGTTCTATATCCAAATGGATAGTTCTCCTTGTATTCCATGTAATCTAACCTTGCTAACCAGTCTACCACGAGGAACTTTGTCGAATGCCTTACTGAAGTCCATATAGATCACGTCCACTGCTCTGCCCTCATCAATCCTCTTTGTTACTTACTCATAAAACTCAATCAAGTTAGTGAGACACGATTTCCTGCGCACAAAGCCATGTTGATTATCCCTAAATCAGTACTTGCCTTTCAAAATCTTTCAGGATTCCTCCAACAACTTGCCCACCACCAATTTCAGGCTCACTGGCCTATAGTTCCCTGGCTTTTCCTTATCACCTTTCTTAAATATTGGTATCACGTTAGCCAACCTCCAGTCTTCCGGCACCTTGTCTGTGGCTATCGATGATACAAATATCTCAGCAAAGGGCCCAGCAATCACTTCCCTAGCTTCCCACAGACTTCTCGGGTACATTTCATCTGGTTCCAGGGAGTTATTCAGCATTATGAGTTTTAAGATGTCCGGCACATCCCCCCTCTGTGATATGGTCTCTTTTTAAGATGTTGTTATTTATTTCCCCACGTTCTCTATCTTCCATGTCCTTTTCCAC